ACACTTCAGACTCCGCACGAAATTCAAATTCTCATTACAGTACAGCGCGGAACACAACCCGCGCTTCTAACGAGGGTCGGAGGAATGCGATGCTGGGGAGACCTTGAATGTGTCCCCCTCTTCCTATTGATCAGCGCCCTGCGAAAGGGGCTGAAAAGATTAGCTTCAAACGCTTTCCTGTGAAAGGCTAAAAGGAAGCAAATTCTGCACGGCTTGCTGAAGCCAAGCCTTTCAGACATGGCACTGCCACCGCCACGACGTGTCTGCTGCCTGCCACATGGCGTGTTGCCCTGCCAACACACATTCTGAGTCACCCAAGCAGATTTAATGCCATCGCCACCACGACCTTCTCTTTGCCTTTGCTTGTGAAATTGTTAAAGGGAAGATTCTGACCTACCTAAGAAATGATTTTAATCAGTTTCGTTCCGGAAATAACTATGGAAATTCGGATGCTTCCCCTCTGCCGCATGGTACACTCTGACAGACAGACGGCTTCTGAAGTCTCCGCCTTTCCCCAGCCACCCATTGGGGAGAAATGGCGTGATTGGCAGCCACTCCAAGTGCCTCATGGCCGGCTGTGTCTGAGGCATAAGCATGTGAAAAGCCCACAAAAGCAAAGCTGTGAAAATGAGAAAACTCCGGACTTGAGCCCGCCTCCTCACTGCCATGCAGAGAACTGCATCTTCCTTCTTTCAGAACCCTGACCCTGCGCCTGTGGATTCGGAGCTCGAGGAGCATGCCCTTGGCAAAAGTAGGCAAGGCCACGAGTTCGGTGTCCTGTGGCCACAGCCGGGCAGACAGACACCACTCGGAGACAGCAACAAACCTGGAAATGATGAAGGTGTAACCAACAGCTGGTCAGTTACGCGTGGAGCAATGGGAGAGGGGGTCACCGCAGATCCTTGTAATTATTTATGTGCCCTATATTTGGGTTTCACGGCATGTCACGGCCATTCTTCTGTCTGTTCACTCAGCTACATGTATTCACACGTTAGTTCTTTCTTGATCTCCACGAAGGTGGAGAAGTCATTTTAAGGGTGAGGAGGCAGAGATTCATGGGAGAAATATCGCCAACCTCACTGAGCTAATATGAGTCAAAGTGGATCTCTCACCCTGGTCTGCTGCTGTCCTGCCTGCAGCTCTGTCCTGCCCCTTCCAGGGCCTACTCAATGTAATATTTTAAATATTAACATGACATTTCAAACCTCCGAAGCACACATAAAGTGTCTACTATCATTTGATGTGTGTGCAAATTCCTTTTCCACCAGTTTTTCATGAGTTTCACAGGTTCACAAGTTTTCTGCTCCTTTTCAACAAGTACTTTTATATAAACTACAGTTGCATCAAATTCATGGTATTGAAATATCTTCGGGCACAATGGAAATGTAACATGACCCTGCACATGGACCCACTGAATACAATGCCCCAGCCTGCTAGCTGAGCCCTGCAGAGCCCCAAGGAGCACTGGGACATGGGGTGCTGTTCCCAGGTGCCCTGGGATTGCCAGAAGCCCCTGCTCAGGCAATGACTGGCATCCAGAATCCTTGAAGGGGCGTGTGTGTGTGTGTGTGTGTGTGTTACCAAGCACTGAACCCGGGCCCTTTACACTGAGCTGCATCCCCAGTCCTTTTTTACTTTTTATTTGAGACAGGCTTTGCCAAGTCATTCCATGACCCAGGCTGTGCTCTAACCTGTAATCCTCCTGCCTCAGCCTTCCAGAGTGCTGAGATCACAGGTGTGCACCACCATGCCTGGTCTTGTGGGTTTATCCCGGGTCAAGGTGTCTCCACCTCCCTATGTTGACACCTTCGGACATGGACTGCCCTGTGCACTAGATGCCAGTCACAGCCACTCCCACCCCAGTGGTGACAACCATAAATGCCCCCCTCCAGGCAGGCCAAGCTCATGGGCCCAGGTTGCCCCAGGCGAGGGCCTCTGTCTGGGCAGAGCAAGCCTTATTACTCACCACCCAGAGGCAGGAACACCTACTCCCGCCCTGTTGCTCCGGAATGCACTGTTTGTTCTGAAGAATGCAGACTCTGCTCGAGAGTTCAGCGAGCCACAGCTGCCGGCCTTGGGCAGCACAAAGTGAGCCCCAGGCGTGAGAAGAGCCCTTTGCTGGCATGGCGGGATTCACCCCTTCTGGTAATTCTACAGACCAACAGCTGTCAAAAGCTGAGGCGTGGCACAGCCAGAGCCTTTCCGCTACCCAGGACAGGGCAGGACCCCTGCTGCCCACATCCCCAAGGCCCGGGCTGTCTAGAAGGTGGCCCAGGCTGTGCCAGGACTGTCCCAGACGTGACCTCCATCTGGGTGTGTTAGCTCTGCAGTGGTAGCAAGTCTGGGAGTGTGCAGGTCCGTGCATGGGTGTGATGCGTGCGAGCAGCCAAAGACAACAAACAGCTGGAAAGGGTGGCACAGAAGCTGGCACCTCAGCCCTGCCCGCAGCAGACAATGGGCACAGATGCCGACTGTGAGCAGGAGGTGGATTCCCCTCCTCAAGGCCCTGCGCAAGCCAGTCTGAATCCCTGTCAAAGGATCCATAGACACCTCGGGTCTGAAGCTAAGCGTGGCTTCACCCTCCAGGAGGTGCCATGGAGCCTCCCTGATCTCGCTGTGGCTCTTTCCAGCCGGTTTACAGCTCCATGTGTTTCCCCTGTGCTTTGAGATAACAGATGCCCGGACTGGAAGTCTCCCAGGCCCATTAACCACAGCAGGCCTCCTCATCCTCAGGGGAGCAGCCCAGCAGGGCGGAACTCCCTGTTCTTGAAACCCAGCCCACAACCTTGGGCAGCCAGCACCAGAGTGACCCCGAGAAGCCAGAACAAGGTGCAGTGATGTGAGGTTTCCTGCTGCTCTGCCAGATGTGAGCACTCATGTCCCAGGGTCCGGCCCCTGGGTGCCAATGGGTGCCCCGAGGAGGCTGCCAGAGGCCCGAAGGCCGTGCAGCAGCTGGTGGATTGGATTCCATGGTGCTCAGAGGACCCCGCATCTGGAACTCCCAGTGAGGACACTGTCCTTCCTCACTTGCAGGACACCAGGGTGTAAGAGAATGCATTGTTAACACATCAAGCCAGACGGAAAACATCGTCACACTGGCCTCCTTGGCTTGGATGCCTCACCCGACCAGGACTCCAGGGCTCAGGGCGGGGCGAGGCTCCAGGAAGCTGCATAAAGCAAGCTAAAGCGTAGCTTCAAGGCCCTTCCCCGCACTCGGGCTTCAGCTGCCCCTCCTGGCGGCCCAGACACCATCGGCTGCTAACGCACTGCACTACGGGATTTCTTTCGGCCTTGGGAGGCAGGTGCTGTTAAAGTTCTGTCCCCCAAAACCATGCCAAAGAAATGGGCCTGGAATGGGAGAACTTGGGCCTTCTGGTTTCGGGACTCCAGGAGGAGCCGGGGCCTTGCACCGCTCAGTCCTTCCTCCCAGCCCTGCCCCAGATATACACCTGCACTCGACTCCTTCCGCCCGCTCCACGTCCACGTCCACAGTACAGGACAGCAGCTTTCCCTACTAAGCGGTGCACTCTCTCCCTGCTGCGTATTCTGCAGCCCCGGCTTGGGCCTCTGTTCCCCCCGTTGCTCCAGGACAGGACACTTCAGCCAAAATCAGAGGAAAGGCTCGGGCTGCAGATCACCAGGGGCCAGTCAGCAGGTCTGACACTCCAGGCGGACGAGGAAGGGGATTCTGGAAGCAGCAGAGAGCTCTTGGTTGCTAGGACATCTGAGGTGTGAGGACAAGAGGCTCCGCCCAGAGACAGCAGACTCCAGAGGTGCCTCAGGGGGCTGGGGCAGTGGAGACTCTGTGCCCTGAGCCTGTGAGGAGACTGGAAAAGCCCCCCAAAGGATTCGGGCTGGGGACCCTAGATTCTGTGCAGTGTTCATGCTCCCCTGCACCGTCTGCACCCCAGTGTGGGAGGAAACAGCTGAGGGCCCACCATGGCGACAGTGGTGTGAAAGCAGAAAGGGCTGGAGCCGGCACCCACAGTCCCACGCCCAGGGAGGGCAGAAGGAGCCGCATGAACACGCTGACTTGGGAGGCCTGGGTGAGGACCAGCAGGCAGCAGACATCGCAGCGTCAGCGTGGACAGACGACCACCACGGACCCCTCACCCCTGCACTGTGGGCAACTCACCCAGAAGCCCAGGGGATGAGGGGACCCACACTGACTGCACAGGGCCCTCGGAACAGGAAGATGCATCTGCTGCACACTGGGGCCTGGAAAGTTGCCCTACTTGTGGGGACTGTCGGGGGGCATGTTTCTGTCTGACCTTGGACCACCCGAAGCCTCAGAGCCCACGCAGGGGCCAGCTGTCACTGTATGGCCTGGAGAGGGTTCTAGTGGCCTCTTGTGTCCACAGCTTCATTTTCTGTGTCTTCGGTTACCCAGTCTGAAAATACTACCTGGACAATTCTAGAAATAGTTCATAAATTTTAAATAATATCATGTGTTCTGCAGTATTAGCTATCACTGATTTCTCACTGGGCCTAGTTTATAAACTAATACCTCTACACAGGACAAATTGTGCCTAAGGGTCAGTTCTTCCCAAGGCTCCAGGCATCCACTGGAGGCCTTGGGACAGGACAAGTGGTAACCACTCTAAGTGCCTAATTGAGAAGTCTGCACAGGAAGAGTTGCCTCAGAAGTCCTGGAGAAAGAGAGGGAGAGCCGGCAAACCACAGGCCCTCGGCTTCCAAGGCTGCCGTGCGGGCTCCTGGAATCGCTGGGGTGACGCAGACTCCCCCGGACGGCCACGCTGCCGCACCTGTACCTGGCTCCATCGCTGTCCCCAGACACATCAGCGCCTGGACCTCTCCGTGTGAAACAAAGGAGCCACCGTCGTTCCCGCTCCCACGGTTCTGTCCTGGCTGAGCCCTTGGGATTCTCTTTCTCGTCATGCTTTTCTGCACAGGGATCCATCCCCAGCCTGCGCATGCCCGTGTATCTGCCTGTTACCACCATGCCTGCCAAGCACGCTTTCAAAACAGGACGGACACCGTTTTAGGAAACAAAACAATCTTTATTAAAAAAAATAACTTACAAATTGAGAGAACTCTCTATTTGTCTTGGGCACAGATTTGCAGTCTGGAACAGTCTTGTTTAAAGGTAACTTTAGAATACTATTAATGTTACAAACTGCACTGTGGGCAGTTTTCCTTCCACATCCTGTGTTGGTGCAAAGCACCACACAGATATTAAACTACTGTAAATAGAACATTCGCACCAACACTGGCATGTACTTATATATATATTTATATATCTTTTCAGATCTGCTAACAATAAATGTTGTCACCCTTAGTCAAGACTGAAGTCAAACTAACCCTAAAACTACAGCGATCTGGATATGTCAGCATTATAACCTCCCATACAATATTTAAAATATATTTTAACTTTTCAAATACACTTATAAGGTACACCAATAGTGAGAAAATAAAGTCTGAAAACTTAAATACAAGTCACTATATAAAACCCAACAGGACGCAGACGGCTCTGCTGTACAGAGGCCCAGCTGAGCCCGTCTTGAAGCTGGCTTCATGCACAGCACAGCGCTGTTTGTTTCCCGCTCACTGCAAAACTGTCAAAGCGCTCAGCCGGGCGACAGCTGCGTTGGCGAGAGAGGATACGCAATGTCATGCCTCTTCTCTCTGCGTCACTCAAGCATCAAACCCAAAGCAACTTTGCTCTCCTCAAGAAACCAGGCAGCCCGATGCCCCAGTCACAACAAGCACACACGTCCCCAAGCCTCTGCAGGGCAGCTCACTTGGTGCTTTGCTCCAATGCGGAGTACTCCGTCTCTGACACTCGGGAGGCGTCGATGAGCTTGGTGAGGCCAGTCTTGGCCGAGTACTTGAAAATGAAGGCCTTCATCAGCTCATACCTGTAGTTGCGGTTGATGAAGCTGTAGAGCACGGGGTTGACGCAGCAGTGCACCAGCGACAGGCACTGTGTGATGTGCAGGGCCGTGAAGAGCGCGTTCTCCAGCTGGCAGGTGAAGGGGATGTAGTGTAAGATGGAGAAGATGTCCAGCAGCACCACAATGTGGTAGGGCAGCCAGCACACGAGGAAGACCAGCACGTAGGAGAAGATGATCTTCCGGCTGCTGTGCTTCTCCTGGTCGCCGGACGCCGAGATGGCTCTGGCGAGCAGGAAGTAGAAGACAGCGATGATGGAGAATGGAACGGCAAAGCCCAGGATGACAGAGACCAGCTCCATGCCAATGAGCCATTCCTTGATGCTGTGCTCGGGGTAGAAGGACCGGCAGTAAGTCTCGTTGTTGGAAGCAGACGTGACGGTCTTCAGGTAGTAGGTGTCGGGCAGGGACACGCAGAAGGCCAGCAGCCACACCAGGATGCAGACGATGCGCCGCAGCATCTTCTTCTTGCAGCTCGGGGTGTTGGTGAAGTAGGTGATGGAGAGGTAGCGGTCCACGCTCATGCACGTGAGGAAGAAGATGCTGCCGAAGAGGTTGATGGAGAAGATAAGGTGCGCGACCTTGCACGTGAGCTCGCCCATGGGCCACTGGTTGTGCTGCACGAGGCTGACCACCCAGACCGGGATGGTGATGACCACCCACAGGTCCGCGATGGCCAGGTTCAAGAGGTAGCAGTGCGCGTCGTAGCCTGTGGTCTTGGCCTGGATGTTCGCCCAGACCACCACGGAGTTGGCGATCATGCCGACGACGAAGATGAAGATGTAGAGGAAAGAGAGCGTGTAGAGCAGCATGCTCTTGTTGGGCATGACGGGGCACTGCAGCGTGTCCACCATGATGCAGTCGCTGCTGTTGCACGGCCAGCTGATGTCCGAGTAGTTCCCTGGCTCCGAGTCGTCAAAGAGATGCAGATCCATGGTCTGGAAGGGGCGGCTGAGCGACCTACAGCAAAACCACACAGGAAAGCTGGAAGAGAAAAGGCACTTCATCAGAAAAAGTTCCAGCCAGAATGCTCCTCCAAGGCCCTGCCAGGGCTCAGCTGTTTCGCTTTAGCTCTGTGGTGTCTTCACAAAGAAAGGGGTGAGAAAACAGGCCAAACAGAACTGTGTGGTACAAAATTAAACCCACCCAGAGCCTAATCCACTTGGTGCTGGCCACCGAGAGAAGCGGTGTTTGTTTTCTGCATCTTTTCATGGCTGTGTTCTCAACACATCGACAGCCCGGCTGTGCCCTGGGTGTGAAATCAACACAGCACTCAAGCCAAAGAAACGTCAGACAGCGCAGCCTGGGCTGGAGCAAGGCTGCTGGGCTGCCGGTTCTCAGCAGGGCCCAGGGGGTCATTTCACAACTTCCCCAGCATGAGGGCAGGTCTGCGCCTAGTACATGCGTGCACCAGTGTCCTGCTGCAGTGCCTTAACCAGAGCATCTCAGCCCTTCTTCAAATCTGCATTTAAAACATGACTCTGCACCTTCTACCTTTCCACGGGATTCACTCGCAGAGCTGAGTCTTCTGCTGCCCTCAGCTTGTGGTCACGAGGCCCCTCAAAATAGGGCCATCGAGTGTGGAAGGCCCTTCTGCCCGACTGCACCCCAAACCTGCAGACTCGGGATTTGAATGTGATTTTCTGCTGAAGCTAACCAGCCAGCTGCCTCAAGCTCCAGGTGCTCACCTAGTCTTCCGTTCCTTTATTTGCTCAAGAATAATGAGTGCCAAGACCCAAAGCACAGAAGAAACCACCACCTGCTGCATTTCCGGAGGGCTCACACGTCTGCCGACTCTCTTCTCTGCAGACCTGACATGAGGCCCACACACTCGGCTCTCACCAATTCACATCCAGCCAGGGTTCAGTTGCAGGTGCCATGGGACAGGGGGGCAACTTCTCCACAGACACTCAGGAGTTGCCAGGACCTGTCTCCCACTGTCCCTAGTCCACTAGATGGCCCTGAAGTCCCTGCAGTCCTGTGTCAGCTGCCACCCCTGGCCAGACCCCCCTGCACGACTGTGACAGCCATTGTCGGGGATCCAGTTAGCTGGTGGTCCTCCACCTCTCACGTCACAGTGACAGCTGATGCAGAGTCCAGCTTAATAGCCGAGGTCCCCAAAAGCAGACACCAGCTTCTTCTTACAGAACGCTTTGGAGGCCCCTGGGTCAGAGCCCGACAGCCATGCCAACAGTGGGAGAAGCCACAGCAGGAAAAACAGCAGTCGCAAGCTCAGACATTCTCAGGTCAGAATCCTGGCTCCTCTACTCGTTAGTGTTTAACTTGAGACTAACTAGTTAACGCTCGGGGTCTGCTGCCCGGGACAGCAGTACCTCTCAGACTTGCCTCAGAACAAAGGGCACAACACAGAATCTGCCGGCAGACAGTAGACACTCAGTGAAACTTCACCTGCCAAGCCCAGAGAATGCTGGGCATTCTCCAGCCGGAAATGATCAGTTTTCCCCTTCGGCAAAAAGGCACAGCCTCCCAGGAATCTGCCACATTGCACAATGGCTGAGTAACAAGCATCCCAGCAGAGGTGAGGCTCTTGGGGCTCACAGGACTGGGAGCCGGGTCGGTTTCTCCTCTGGGACAACTCGGACAGAATCTCCCTCGGGGCAGGCCAGGCCGAGGGGCCCTCCTGTGCCCTACTGGCTTTGGTGTCTGCTGGGGCTGAGGAAAGCCCCAGCCCTCCATGGTGCCACCTCCCCTCGGGCTTGGAAAGCCCTCAGTGGTGGGGCTGCTGACCACGGAGCCAGGAAGCCTGGCCCTGCGCAGTCACCCGGCCAGAGGACTCCAAACACACGGCCGAGACCTGTGCCACCTCACCCAGCAGCCCAGGAGGGCACCAGGGAGCGGCAGGCTGGAGTGTGGGGAGGAAGCAAGCTCCAAGCAGCAGACGCTGACCCGGCCTAACACACAGCTCTGAGGGCTCTGAAGGACACAGGTCTGACAGGCTGCCGGGGACGCCTTCCAGCACTCAGCTTCCCTGACAGCCCAGGCTGCCTGGAAGTTGCCACTGCCACCTCCTTGGTCACCAAGCAGCCTGGCACTGCTCTCCACCCCGCATCGGGTACTCTGCCTTGGCCTCTGCCCTGCTGCGTGGATCCTGCTGTGTGGGACGCAGCTCAGTGTACAGAGCACTTTCTGCTCATGACCCATGGAAACTTAACCCACTGGACAGCAGAGGAACTCAAATGGGAGTCAAGTCACTGCCCCTCAGCCCAGCAGCCGAGGTCTGTGATAGGGACAGAGGTGGCCATAGGTCCTGGGCCCAAAAGCCAGAACTGATTCTTCAACAGCCTGGACTTGGGTTCAAATCCTGCCCACCACACTCGCCACACCTGGGAAACCCCAGACCCACTATGTCTCCGTGTGTAGGAAGGACGACCCCATGCAGGGGTACAGAGTGAGTGGACACTGCCTCTCACGGTGACAGAGCACCTGCTAGGTCCTCCACTGTCTCCACAGAACCAACCCTGAATCTTACACCACGCAGGCTGCCGGGCCAAAGTGGGCAGCAGGGAGGGCTTGGGGACCCTGACTCGGTCCCTGGGCCTCTGTCTCTGTGCTCTGGACAAAGAACGTTTAATTTCCTGACTCCTGTCCCCAGAGTCACAAGCAGACAGCCACTGGTCCCCACGTCCTTCTCTCCCATGGGAGGCACCCTGGGAAATGCCCGGCAGGGGTGCAGCTGCTCCTGCCCACAGCTGCAGGAAGGCCAGAGCCAGGAGGCCCTGTGTGGTCACTGACCCCATGCACCAGTCAGTGGATGAGGCCAGCAGCCACACCCTGGCCTTCGCCCCCTTCCCAGGCCTGCGTGGATCACTCCCTGCACCCCGAGGATGGCATCCACAGGCAGAGGCGGACCAGATGCTCAAGAGAAAGCAGACTCAGCGGTGCCCTGACCTCCACCCTGTGGGGAGCTCAGGAAAGCAAAAAACCAAGGACACTGCACGCAGCCCAGCCTGTGGTTATCTGGGTACTTTTCACGCACCACACTGTGGAGAGGAACGAGGGCTCTTTCCAGAAAGGAGAGCGCTACTGGACCGCCCGTCCTGGCTCAGCTCGGGAGGTGCCCTGTCCTATGGCTGTGGGCACCAGGGGCTTCTGTCACCTAAGGCCACTCCGGCTCCCAGTCCAGCACTGGAGCAAAGACTGTCCCCAACCCACTGCTTGGATGCATCTGAGTTCCTGGCAGAAACAAAAGTGTGACTGGGTAACCAGGGGATCCACCCAGGTCTGGGCTCTCTGACAGCCGCCGCTCCCCACATCTGCCCCGCGCTCCCCTCCAGGTGTACAGACAGCGCCCTAGGCTGGATGACAGGGCCACTTCCGATCACCAAGGATATCGCTCACCCGCTGCCTGGACCAACCCCAGCTCCATCTAGCCCTGTTGCTCCCAGCCATAGGAGAGGTCAGATGTAACCCCGTGCACAATCGTGTACCTCGAGGAGAAGACACCACTCAAGGTAGAAGGCCTTTGCATAAGGGATTCCGGGAGGAGGCAAAAGAGGCTCAGAATAAAGGATTTTTCTAGTTCTGGGAGTTTACAAGTCCACACATTTCCCCTCTCGAACTCGCATGTGTCCAAATATACATGCAAGGTATTTACTGAAGCAGTATTTATGAGGATCAAAAATTGCCAAGAACACAAATGCCCATGGACAGAGGAATGGCTCAATAAAGTACGGTGGGTATATCCGCTGTCTGGAATATTACACAGAGGTAAGGAGAGGGGGAGAACCGCTTTTGTGAACAAGGAAATTCAGGACACACTATGATGTGAACAGCACTGCAGACACACACACAATCCAACCCCACTGACACAGGATAAAAAGCAAAACTCTGTGCAGTTTTCTATGCAGAGACTCATGCATGAGACACAGAAAAAGACCTGCAATAACTGACTGCAACAGTGTGGGCAGGGGAGTAGAACAAGGGTGCACAGGGAGAGCTGCGGTCTTGACTCCATAAATGCCTGAGGTGTTTGGAGTTTGACATCAAGAGTTACGTAAATTTTAAGAGGGCGGAATGACCCGCAAAACAATAAAACTTCATGCTCTGTTTTCTGAGAACAGAACTCAGTGGAGGCCGGTTTGTCTCCCTCGCCCCTTCCCTTACTGTCTGGCCCCTCAAGTCCTGTCTGACAGAGCCACTTGTTTCCTTGTTATTGTTGTTGCATTGCTGGGGATTGGACTCGGGGCCTTCACACGGAGCTGCACCCTCAGCTCTTTTTTAAATTGTTTATTTTGAGACAGGGTCTCCCTAAATTGCTGAGTTGCCCAGGTTGGGCTCAAACTTGAAATCCTCCTGCCTCTGCCTCCCAGAGTGCAGGATCACAGGTGTGCACCACCATGCTCGACTCAGGACTCACTTTTTAAATGACCTCACCCTCCATCCACGTCTGCGGTGACAAGAGGCGATGCTGCCATGGCCTGGGGTATCCGTAGCCGCTGTCCAGCCCTCCCGTGGCCCTCATCTGGAAAAGGCCTCATCTGCCACTCCCTGGCCCAACGGTGCCCAGGCCCCTGGTGTCCCGCAGAGGACTCTGGGAGTGTGCCTCCACTCCTGAGACTCCCATGCAGAGACAGAGCCTCTTTAGCGGCTGAGGACTCAGCTGCCTGTGAAATTCAGCTGCACCCGCAGGGTCCGGCTGAGCTTACAGTGCCTGGGGAGCAGCACTGAGGTCCGAAGCCTCCCAGAGCAGAGGCTCCGCGGGCAGCAGCCTGGCCTGCGGTCCCCAAGTGCCCGCCTGTTCCGCTCCTTCGAGAGGCTTCGGGCCGGGTGTCCAGGTCCCATTCACCAGCACTGCCGCCGCCTCCCATCTCAGAGGAGGAGGCTCCCGCTACGTGCTCCCATGCTCCCGCTTGGCCACCTGAGGCCCTAGGTGTGCCCTGAACCCCACTCCGCAGGTCTCTGTAGCCTCTCCCATCTCCACTCTGCTGCTACTCAACCTGCACCTCCCACTGCCTATGTCTCACTTATGTATGTATTTTGAAGTCCTGGGGATTGGACCTAGGGTCTCAAGTATGCCAGGCAAGTGCTCTGCCACCGAGCCACGTCCTACACCTTTCCACTTGACGTTGAGATAGCATCTCACAGTGTAGCCCAGGCAGCCCTCAAATGTAGGATCCTCCTGCCTTAGCCTCCCCAGTAGCTGAGGTTACAGGTACCCCCAGGACAGTCGGCTCCTGCTCATCCTCGTGAACCCAGCCCAGCAAAGGGACCTGGCACAAAGGAGCTGCTGGATGAAATCTGTGGTTCATCGAAGCCAGGGACTCAGCCATGGAGGGTCTGATGCCTGGAAGAGACTCTTAGGGATTCCCCCCAGCTGGTGTTTGGGGGCCCAGCTCTGGGGAAGGCAACAGTGACCAACCGGGGTCACCAGGCTAGGAATCAGGGTCCACAAAGGCCCACAGCCTGCCGGGCCTCCAAGGTGGTGCAGGGCAGGGACTTCCACCGAGGTGGCCCAGGGCCCCCTTCAGAGGGGTATCCGGAAGGATGCTCCCTCACAGGAGAGCCCCCCAGTCTGGCTGAGAGGAGATCCCCACCCAGCTGGAGGGAAGGCTGGGTGTGGCAGGGCAGGGAGGCAGCCTGGCCCTGTCTGTGGGAGCCATGGGGATCGATGAGGCTGCGGCTCTGGGGCAGAGGGCACTCTGAGGACAGAGGTGATGCAGACACCCAGAAGGCCTGGCCGGGGGCTCTGGGCCAGGAGGAGACCTGACTGCTGCTCCAGGGACACAGATAAGATAACAGCCAGGCCTGGGGTGCTGGAACCAGCTCTGAAGCCGGGGGCCCTCCAGTCCTGCACCAGCGTCTGCAGCTTTGTCTCCTGTGTCCCACAGCAGAACTTCCCAGGGAGACGCAGCGCTGTCCTGAGACAAGAGCAGGCTGCCTGCCGTGGCAGTCACTGTCCCTGCTGCACACGTGGAAACCAGGGCAGGGCGGTTATGGGTCCAGTGGCTAGGACGGAGCCCTCTGCATCTTTACCTTCTCCGGAGACCTTGGCTGGCAGAGCCCACACTCTGGTTCCTTCATGACCACCAAGACGGGACAAGGGCACATCGTGAAGTTTTCTGCTGTTTGTGGATGTTTAATCAGTTCTGCATTCGATCTACTTGGGTCCCAGCCAACGTGGTGAGGAGCCCAAAGACATACTGGGCAGGCTCTCTGGGGCCACTGCTCAGCGTGACCTCGGAGCAGCAAGCTGTGCCCCGGTGCCAGGCGAAAGGAAAACAATATAGGCTTATTTTATGCATGTTAGGGACACTTTTGAATTATCTGAGAACTTAAAGCATAATGAGAACATAGAGAGAAGAAAATGCACACCCCGATGCTGAACCAGGCCACCCATTCCCACGGCCTGGCAGGGTGAACTGAAGGCACCTCCAGAAACCTGATCCGCCCCATTGTGCTCAGCTGCCTGCAGGAGCAAGGCTGTGCCCAGCAGAGCGGATCCAGGACTCCTGGTCACAAAGGCGGCTGTCTGGGGCGGCCCAGTGTAATCAGAGCCCATTCCCACCCAGCTTAGGACTGGGGTGAGGCAGGAGATCAGCCAGCAAGGAGAGCTCTTCACATTTTCGCTCAGGGAGACACGATGTGGTTTCTACATGAGCGCGCTGCAGACTCAGGCCCCTCCCACAAAACTGAGGGGCGAATCCTGGAAGCTGTCTGGGACAAGAAGACGCAAGCTGTCTATCTGGGTGAGGCGGCCTTCATTCAAATCGCAGTCTCCCACACTGCCCAGGGCTCCTTATCTGTCCCTTCCCCCACAAGGGTTCAAGGCCACCTAAGACAGACGCAGGAGCATCTGGGACAGAACATACACAGCTTCCGAACCTATAGACTTGTCATGGTGAAATCACTCCACCCCGGGTGACTTTGGTAACCAAGCCGCAATGGTTGGTTTGGGTGTCTTTTTTTTTTTCCATTCCAAATCAGTAGTAGTAAGAAAAGCATCAAATATTCCCTGCAGAAAAGCATGAAGTATTCAAAATCCGGGACACACCTCCCAGTCCTGACCTGTCCCTTTTTCTTTCTTTAGGGTGCTTGTGTTCATTAGAATAGAGACCGGCACTATTCTTCCCTTTTGTGGACTTTTAAACTACTTGTCACGAGACAGTCTTTGGTTTCCTTCTAAATTACACCTACACGCATATAAGCCACCTTAATACTATTCCTGTTCTTTGGAGTAAAAGTACGCATCTCAGTTGCCTGATTTAAAAGCACAAATGCCTTCAGGCCCCAAATTCCATTCATGTTCTATAAAATCTCTGCTGAAAATCTAAAGATCTGAAACCTTCCAGGGCTTTTTCTCTCTCCTGGGCTACTCTTAAGGTTCACAAAATGCTGGCCCAAGAGCCTCGGGTCTGAGTAACTTCCACCAACTTCCCCAGTGTTGACTTGAAAACAGGAGCTCCCTGCCCAAACCCACCACACAAAAAAGCCACTGTTCTAATTAAGTAGGGGTTTTATGTGTGTTTTTTTTCTTTCATCCAGAAAGCCTATACTTGGGCTGTTCTGGGCCTGATTAGAAATCATAATACCTTCTCAACTCTCCAAGGACTTGCTGTTCATACAGGATAAGCTCGCTTCCAAAGCCCTCGCTCAGTTAAGCATGTGCTTAAAGTTTTTGGAACTTCTGAAAAATGATGACTGCAATCCTCGCTCCTCTACAAAAAAAAGTCTGATGGGCAGCAAAACACAGCATCTCCCCTTCCTCCCTGGCAGCTCCTGGGGCCGCAGCTGAGCTGGGTAGGGCTGTGGGCATTCAGGTGTTTATGGCACAGCCAGGAAAAGAGCAAAGTGCTCAGGCCGGAGCCCCCAGCGCAGCTTGGCCCTGGAGCAAGGCTTTGCCTTGAGCTGAGCAGCACTCCGAGGGAAGGAAGACCCGCCGCCTCCATTCAGACCCACAGAAAGGCCAGGCACAAAACCAGCAGCCCCGCTTGCCTTGCTAGGCGCACTCCGCATTTTCCTGGACCAAATAAAGGGACACAAAGGCGGCATCTGTGTTTTCAGGGAAAAGAAGAAAGTCGTCACACTGTGGCCCTGCAGACTGAAGTTTCAGAGGATGACACGGCCCCAGCTACCTTCAAAGGGCTGTAAACCACTGCAGGAGACTTGCTCCTGCTTCGGGAAAACTAATTAATCCTGTTGTGGACAAATGAAAGGAGAGAGAGAGAGAGAGAGAGAGAGAGAGAGAGAGAGAGAGAGAGAGAGTGGGGAAAGAAAGAGGAAGGGAGGGAGGAGAGAGGAAAGGAACAAGGGACAGGGAGAGAGACAGCCAGTCTGACTTTTACAGCTTCTCTTCTCCCTGGAAGTTCCAAGTCCTGGAATCCACCCACCCCTGACCTCACTGTTAGTCCCAGCCACCCTCTGACTCCTCCTGCCTGCTGACAAAACTGACCAAAGTTCTCGTTTTACCTGAAGAGTTCACTTCAGTATACTCAAATTCCAAAACACCAGAGTGTGCTTTCCTCCCACCGACTGAAGTTGGACCTAACACTTTCTAAGAGAACAATTAATACTCAAATTGGTCTCTCGAGGATGCAATCAGGGGACCAAAGGCTGGGTTTGTATTTAACATTCACATTTATAGCTTCCCTGCTACAGGCTCCGATAATCCCCCAAGTGCCGACTTCAAGTACATACTGGATTCACAGAGAGTCTCAGACCAGTTTTCTGGACTTAAAGATGCCTCTGGAATTAGCCATGCACAGTCAGTTCTATCAGTTTCCCAGCTGATACCCTAAGCAGCACAGGTAAATGGCAGGGCCGAGGTCGCCCCTGTGCCCACGCGGGGTGGGCAGAACACAGTCTGCTCAAGCAGTTCTCGCAGTTGCCCCACTTTCTGGACAGCCCGAGAACCCACAGCAGGACTCACACCAGACTCTAAAATCCAACAGATCACGTAGAAATCGCACTCCGCGAGTGACTTAAGAAAACTTTGCCTTTGCTTTCTGCAGAGAGGAGTGAAGCCCCAGGTCAGCAGAAGCGTTTTGCAAGGACAGGCAAGGCACCATGCAGCCAACCCAGCGTTGGATGGGAAGGGGTCGGAGCAGGCGCCGGAGCCCTTCGGCCGCCTGTGCTTACCTCGGGCGAGCGGAGGAGCGGCTGCAGTGCCTTCCCAGCTGGGAGCTCGCTCCCTGAGCGCAGAGCGGTTTGCAGCGACTGAGCGCCCCAGCTGCAGACTCGCGTTATATACACTGCAGGAAGTCGCCACTAGGTGGCAGCTTTGTCCCCCTCTCATCTCTCCTCCCCTGCACGCCCTTCCCCCACACGCCGCGGGGACGCGCCCACGCGCACGCACGCCCCCGGCTGCAGCCTCCGCCTCCCCGCGCGCAGGGCGCGCTCCAGGGAAACGCGGTCTCCCGTCCTGCGCAGTCTAATGAGGACCACGAGGTCTAGACCCCATGGGGGAAATGTCGGCAGGATAAAAACTGAAAGAAATCCCAGTGCTTTGGAAAATCATCAAATATTTATCTGGTCTCAGGTATATCTTTAATAATCCCATTAACACCAGGAGTTCCTTTGAATGTCTCTAGCTCTGGGGAAGACTTTGCTCCCAAGACAAATTACCCTGAGCTTCAGAACGTCGGTGTGGATTTATTAAACCTGCATCTTCTTTCCTAATTCCTCCAAAGCAGAAGTTACTGTTTTGGTACAAGCAATTAATCTGCACCGCACCATATAACTCAGAAATGGGGGAAATCGTCTTTATAATAGATGCTAATAGATTTTATCTGAATACTTTTATTTGCAAAGGTCTTAGGTACAAAACCCTTGAGAATCTATCCAGATGGTGTTCGAAGCGGTGCCCGGTGCCAGGCCAGACAGGGTCAGGGCCAATCAGTGTCTTGATTATACCCTCCGGGGTGCGTTTAGCAAACACTCTATTTATTATCATTATCATTGTTGTTGTTGTTGTTGTTGTTGTCTACACGCTTATCTGGGAGCACATTGCCAAAGGTCTGTTCAGTAGGAAACTCAGCCTTAATGTCATATCCATCCCTAAGGCTCCCCCTAGTAAAATGAGCCGTAAAACCTGACCCACTCCCTCACTTTTCACCCCCAAGTATTGACCCCAGCGCGGTGCAGCGCCGGCTTTCCTTTTGCTGCCTGGTCCTCCTGGATTTCAGGATATTCCAAGCGGCTGCGGAGGCGTGCACACTTTCTCCTGACCTGAGCTTTTGGGGTCTCTGGTTACCCTAACAGGGGACAGGGGAGCGCTGAATTGGGAGGCTGCGGGGTCAGAGCCTCACGAGGCTGGTGGAGAACGGTCCTTAACAAAAGAAATATTTTGTTTAGTAAAAGCTTTGGAGTTTTCTCCAGGTCCCGAGCAGAATCCGCGCGGGGGCGGCGGCGGCGATGAAAGACACCTGCTTCCCGGGGCCACCAATGGGGTCCGCGGCCAGCCTTGCCCCCGGTTCTCGAGGCCGCTCGCAGGCACCGCAGGCCCGGCCACGTCGCCAAGCACCCGAAGGCTCCCCGTGCTTTTATCCCAGGGACGGGGCTTCTGAGCTGGGAAGTGCGGGGAGTTCAGCACCAAGCCTGCCCGGGTCTGGCTGGCTGTGCCGGGGCTCAGGCCTGCTCTTCGCACCGGGCCGCGGGGGCGCAAGGTCGGAACTCCCCCGGGGGCCTGATTCGGCTCCGAAAGAGAGATGCGCTACCGCTAATGAAAAGCTGCACCCAAGAGAAATCTGTGCCGGGCTGCAGTTGCTAGTGTGGAGGAAGGGAAACCGCAAAGCAGTTTAAAAATAGAAAAATCTCACTTCACTTAGGGTGTCTGCAGCCCGCACCCCCCCCCCGCCCTCCACCCGGGCTCCCCCTGCACCCAGAACCCAGCACCCAGCCCTGGCCCTCACCCAACCTGCAGCCCCAGGCCTGGCCGCCTCACACCAGCCCTGCCTCGGCTGCCAGGTGACCCTAACCCTAACCCTAACCCAACCCTGCCCTGCAGCACACCCTGCCCCGCCCCGCCCCGCCCCCCCCCCCCCCCCCCGCCACTGCGGTTCCGATCCCCGCAGGAGCAGGCCGGCGGACCAGGACCAGGCCAGCAGCCACCCCTCCTCGCTCAGCTGCCCCTGCCCCAGCCCAGCCCCCATCGGGCCAGCCTTCACCCTACCCGCCTCACGATTCCATCTGAGGGTCCTCACCCTCCAGCTGCCCCGCGCCCGCCCCCTCACAGGTGGGCACACAGCAGCGTTGCGGAGGGCCCCCACCAGCCCTGCTGGACCCCTGGGCTGGGG